CAGCTAAACATGAGAGGTTTTAGGACAAATTTTGTGTTTTCCATTGTTTAAGCACTGGTTCCAACCAATGGAGGTATGTTGTATCAACAGAAAAGGCTAACTTGGTTATCATTTTGCAGAAAAAAAGAGACTGCTAAAAATAAAAACATAAAAGCTTTTTGGACAAAGTTTGTGTTCTCCATTCTTTAAGCACCGGTTCGAGCACTGTTTAAGCACCGGCACCATTTCAAATGTACCGGTTTGGCACTGGTATTGGATAAAACCTAAATGATACCCATCCCTAATCACCTGTTTATCTATCTGTATCTGGAAGACCCACAGGATCTTGGCTTGTGTCCCATTTTGACCTCGGGACTTCCAGGCCATAATCGGCTCAGAAGTTAAAGTATACTATGCCAGCTGTTACACCCCGGCCTAGGCAACCGGCGTGCAACACAGGAAAAATAGAAATAAGGGAAAAATGCCCCCACGCTCACCGCTCTTAAGGAGGGCGAGCCAACAAAAAGACTAACACGGGTCTCCAAAAAAATCCCAAAAAAACGAAAGTATTAACACCGACTTTCATCAAAGCAAAAATAGGCCATTTAATTACATCCAACACCAAACAAATACAACCGGGGGGAAGATCGACATGACAAACGGAAACACAGGGCTTAAATACCTAGAGGGAGCAATCAGGGAAATGGACAACAGGAGGAAAACACAGCTGGGGCAACTCAGAACTGACGAGACAGGGAAACGTAAACAGAACACACTGATATAAAACAGACTTTCAAAATAATGCAGGGAAACACATCACAGTCACGCCTAAAACAGTACACTGCCCCGAATCGTAACACAGCTATTTGGTTATGGCGCCTCATGTATGCCCTGCCTGCTACCATCTTGCACCCTGCTGTTATGTGCTGGATTGTCTCTGGGGCATCTTTACACAGACTGGGGATCTTGCCTGGTGTGGCAGCCCCCAGCCTCTATGAATCTTGTGCATACAGCTTGTCCTGTGCTGCCATGACTAGTGCCTCTGTGCTGTCCTTCAGTCCAGCTTTGTCCAGCCACTGACAGAGGAAGTGGCTGACATCCAGAAATCCTGTCTGCCGGTGATACATACCACGCAGGGGCCTCTGGCTCCATGACAGATTTTCTACTTGCTCCTTTTTTTCTTTCTTGGGTTTCTGCTGTCTGAGGTATTCACTAAGCACATTGTTCGTAGTGGCCATGATCCTGATGTGAATGTTTATCGTCTCATCCTGGACAGTGGTTCTGTACTGTTTGGCATACAGTCTCAGGGTTCTAGTCTTGGGGTGAAACCCTTTGTCCTTGGTGAGCTGCTTCCTTGTCTTGATGTCAGTGGCGCCTGTCTCCTCCTTTAGCCAGCTTATTATCCCAGTAGGCTACCCAATCCCAGTGTTGATTACCTGGATCTTGTTCTTTCCATTCAGCTGACTTCTCTGGAAGTGCCTGACCCTCTGCAGGTACTTGGTAATTGCGCCTCTCTTTACCTTTTGTTACCTTCTGACTACACTTCTCCAGTCCGAAAGACATTCTGATGTTGTTGCTGTAGATCCTCGTGGTGTGGATGAATGAATCAATGTCTGTTTAAGCATACAGCTTGATGTCATCCATGTAGAGGAGGTGGCTGACGATTGCCCCATTCTGTAATTGGTCTCCATAGCCAGTCTTGTCAATGACCTAACTGAGGGGGTTCAGGCCAATGCAGAACAGCAGTTGGAAAAGAGGAACTCCTTGGTAGACCCTGCACTTCATGGTAACTTGTGCTATTGGTTCAAAGTTGGCCTCTAGAAGCTACTAAATGTTTTGCTGTCTCTCTAAATGCTGGGTATCAAAGATTCCATAGGTCCCACATCGTCTTCATGTAACGCCTTCCGCTGGGGTTAATTATGTAGTAGCATGCCAACAGTGCTTTGTTTTCATTTCTTCCCCACTTATGTCTTCCGGTTCCGTTAACCCACTTCTCATCTGTGTGTCATGGTTTCCCAACACCTGACGTGGACCTTGTCCACATCCTGTCTGAGCTGGTATGGCTTCAGTTATCTCTGTCTTTCTCATATCCAAGGTAGCTTGGTTAGCATAGGGAATCTCGCCTAGGGACCCTTACTGGATACAGACACCCAAGAAAACGCCATGAAAGGTCAGGTGTGCAGTAGAGTATTAAACTTTGTGTGTAGGGACTTCAGGTTGAACACCCAAGCTGAGGATGTCAAAGAGCTACCGAATGAGGCAGAGCAGTGTGAACACTGGGTGGTAGAGAGGCTGCAGACAGATTGGCCAAGATGATAAACTTTAAATTTCTACTTTTCCAATAGCTTATAGAAATCTATTTATTTTTGTTGTAGCCATCTGAGTAATCAGTTTTATAATGCAGGCAGTAACCGGTCTTTATTTTCACATTACTAACACGACACATTATCCAAAGTTAATTTTTTTTATTTTTCCATTATGCTCTTCTTCTACAATAATTAAAATTATTCAGATATTGTTTTCTATAATTTCGTTCAAAAATATATCTTACCTTCACAACCTATACTGAAATAATCAAAATAACTCATAAAAAACCCTCCAAATTTAATCTTAAAAATGTAACTTATAATTGGGGAAAATAGCTGAAATTTAACAAGTTAACTTTTTCAAGATATGACTTCTTTGCCATTATTTCTGTTGTTGCAGGATGGGATCATAATCTTCCCTGTAGTATCAAATATCAGTTATTTTCTTTGGTACTGGAATTGAGTTAATTTGTAGAGTTGTTCGTTTGTTTTTTAAATTGGAGCACCAACTTGTGAAAATCTGAAAATACAACTAAAGGTAGATGAAACTGCTCTGAGTTTTACAAACCCTTTGTGTGCTCAGTTATACAAACTCTCAAGGGCAGAAAAACTTAGCACGTTTTCTTCAGGTGTTTTTAACAGTTTCATACCTCAGTGCGGGTTACTTGCTCTTGTGAGCAACAGCTGGAGGAGGAGAAGGAAGAGCAGATGCAGGAGGGGAAACGTAGGTAACAATGCCAGGTTCAGGAATATACTCGTCTCCGTCTTTGCGTAGCAGTGGGCTTCCCTTCAGATTGTACCAGCCCCAGTGGATCAGCCCCAGACTTGTGCCCATCACAATCAATACTTTGTAGTTACTCCACAAATCCCGCAGACCCATAACTAAGATGCTAAAAAAAAAAACCAAAAGATGATCACTACATTCATATAGACAGTTAATATGATTCTTACTTCAAGTAGTAACTAGTCAAATAATATATACTGAAATGGAAGTGGACTTAAAGTACAAGGCAGCATTAAAGAGAAAGTACGCTTATAAGTAATAGTTGAGTGACAATCATTTTCCATCACTGGTCATTCAAAGGTCAAGTGTGCAAAAAAGAAACAAATATCAATTGATCAAAAGACTATACTCTGAGTCTAACTATTTTTGCTGGAAGATCCTGACAAGTCCAGTAAAAAGCAAAGTAAAGCAAGTAAACAAAACTACTGCCTATGTATAGAATTATAGGAACACTGACATTCAATCGATTTCTTATTTAGAACGATACACGTACACCCATGCAAAGGATATTGTAAAGTTTTACTCAATGAGACACCAGCAATGTTACAACGCAATAAGGAACTGATTCATATCTATTATCTTCATATCTATTTAACATGCTCACAGTTTAGTTTAGGAAGCCAGCTCAACCCCATCGATTATCTGTATTGAAATTGCACAAGAAAATTAAAGTTAATCAAAATTAAAATGAACAACACAAACTAACCTGTGGTGACATAAGAGAAGCCCTCACCTTCAGAATTCATCTGTGTTTTCTATGCTGAAGATCACTAAACATGTGCCTGAACGCAATTTACGTTAATTATAAGCATAATTGCTCAAAACCTTAGTGCTAAATACTAACACGCTTATTGTTATTAATTATTGTGTTTTTCATGGAATCCAAATTGAAATAAACACCTTTAAATGTGCCGCTGATGTTATAAATATTTTTTTTACTCAGGCAACACATTGGAAGCCTGAAATAATCATGTGACTGTGTAACCATCGGCTATTGGTTGAGTTTTGCATTCCTAGTGAAAAGGTTTTTTTGAATACGCTTTATTGACAAAGCACAAAATACAAATACAAAATAGCAAACACAATGTCAGGGGGTTCGTATAAAAAAACAAAATAGTGAAAAGGTTTTGATATAGGACTGCATCCATAAAACATCGTCATTTCGTAATTATCTCGGTGTATATACAAAAATGTATCGCCTGTACAACATTTGATGCGCTACAGTAGTGGTGGCTAGATGAAGTGTTGTAACTCTTTTGGTGTGTCGCTCAATAGTGACATCTCCTGGATTTAAAAAAAAATCAGTGCAGGTAACCTGGATAAAGAGTGTGGTGAGAGACTGAGCTATGTTCAATTTTTTTTCTGCCAAATGAGGGATGAATGTTCCTGTTTACATAATAACAACCTGATGGTAAAGCGCTGAATGAAAAAAATATGTATATAATGCAAGGGCGTAGATTTGGCATGGACGGAAGGGACGTGTCCCCGCCAATATCC